AAAGTCCATGAATGTTTCTTTATTTAAAATGTTAGCTGCGACCTGAGTTTTATGTTTTTACGTTAGCCCCTAAAATGAATAAAACGGACACGTTATATGTTGCTTTTAATTAAATTAACGAGATGGCGCCATATTCATCCAGCAAGTTCTCAAACTGTTACTTGATGTCTATTTTTGCTAAATTAAAACCATTAATTTTTTTTAAGGATATTCAAACGTTTCGTGACGTATTTATTTATATTTGAACAAGACTTTTCTCACTAAGCGTACGTTGCTCCCTTTCCTCAATATATCAGTGTGAATGAGTTATTCCATGCGTTTTCTGAAATAGTAAGGAATAACATTTCGCTTGAATTATTTAATTTATTGATTCAAATACTGACACCAACCTTACACAACATGAATTATTGTCATCTTATTACAACTCGAAAGGCCTAATAATAAAACGAGCCACATATTTGAGGTTCCCAAATCAGCTTATAATTCCTTATTTTGTTTTTTCTTCATATGAACCGAAATGTGGTTATTGAAAAGTTCCGAAATGAATGTTGTGCCTAAAGCTCTTGCTTACCTTAGCTAAAACTCTATCCTGCTCCTCCCTCATCGCAAAAAAAATTATTTTGCGCCGTTGTGGCCTTAAGAGTATTTTATTTATCTGCATACATCTATTTAATTTTTGATTGGTTGTTAATAATTACTTTTTCAGTTATTATGGCATTGTTGCATTATTTTTATCTACGAACCCTCTTACACTTTTTCGGTAAGAATAAACTTTTTTAAAAAAATGATTGTATGCTGTGGATTGTGGTAAATTGAGGCTATACATTTGTGGGTCATGCGGCTAATTTGTGGGTCATGATGCTAAAATGTATCGGCAACAGCATCCTATCCCCACAAATTTACATTAATTTTATTACCTCCACTAGATGGCGCCTGCATCCTTTGACAGTCATTCTGGTTACGCAGAATGCTAGGAAGGCAATATATTTGTTTATTTTGGGAAAAGTCCTATTGAGAATTTAAACTTGATTTTATTTCTGGGTTATAACGTAACCATTGAGAATAAAAATCACAGCGTAATTAATTTTATGATCAGGTATATGAATTATAGCCAATTAAAAATACTCATAACTTTAATAGCAATGTTTACGGTTTATAACGCATATAAACTTGAGACAAAATTATAATTCTTCTATATTTAATTTTAGAAAAACATTCTATGCATTTCAATCTGTTCTAGAGTTCCCTTGTTATAGGGGCCATCATTTTGAATGAACTTAATGAATACATTGATATCATGTTAATACATCTTTATGGAATAGTATAAAGTCACAGTATATTCACTTGAAAGATGCATATGTATGTTATGTCTATATATCACGTTCGTAAACAGTAAACATTGCAGTTTTTGCAATTGGATAAGTAATTAAGACATATATCACACATACATATATAGACACATATAGACTCATTACATATATCTTATAACCATAATAATATTCCATGCAGTTTTATGATGGTGTGGTTATCAAGCGCTTCCTATACAAACTATAATTATTTAAATTAGTGTCCTTTTGCATTTCTAGATGGCACCACTATAGATTCTCAAATATAATTTTTGTTAGAAATGGTTCATTCTAATAGTCGACAAATTCGTAAACTAGAATCTGCATGCACTTTGCACTATTCGAAGAATAAAAATTGTAAAGCTTTTTATCTCAGAATTTATAAAAAATCAGTTTTATTGCCGTCCGTCAAGGAAGAAGGAACAAGAACTACTTCCTTCATCCGCGCGTCCAGTATTCATATTTTCAGAGTTTATTTATGTCAGTTCTTGAAATAATCCTGACCTTCCAGCACTTTCATTTGAAGAGATTCATGAAAAATGCAGTTACAATGCATTAAAGATTCTTCAAAAATATAACTGAAAAAATAAAATACCACTTTTACTCACTTTTTAGTGCAAAGGGGCAATTTGCCAAGAATGACTATTTATTTCGTTTTGGCATTTTACCTCGATTCATGATAAGCATTGTTTCACTTTTCAAATTGTTGCTACCAAATATTATTGCACTGTATTATATTTAAAGAAATTAACTACTGAAAATCTGCATGAATGTATGTATGTTTCTCATAAAACAACGCTACCTAGAGCCATCAAAATTTGAATAACGTAATCTTTCATAGAACATGGGCATCTGGAAGCCCTAATTTGAATTTGAAATTTGTTTTATTATCGATTTCATATTTTGTAATACTTCAACGGATTTTTGATTAACAAACCAAACGATTTCAAAGCGAGCAATGGCAACACTGTACGGGGGGAGGAAATCATTTTTATCTCCAGCGCGCGAGACTCTTTATCGGAAATTCTAAAGATATGCTCATTTTAAAATTAATTTGCGATATTGCTGTTGAACTGAATTTTATAGCTTGAGTACGTAGCACATAACATTTAATAAATAAAGGTAACACACAAACCATTGAAAAAACGCCCTTTTGGACGTAATTAAACATCTGAAACCTTTCAGATTTTCTATTGTTGCATTTTTAGTCCAAAGGGGTTTTATCCCTGAAGGACTATTGTTTTCGTTTTGCGATTTTGCATGGAATCACTATAAACGGCGAATCACTTTTCGAACTGTTGCCACCAAATGTTAGAGTCCTGCATTCTATTTGGAGAAATTAAATAATGAAAAGTCTGCATAAATGTATGTATATTTCTCGCATTGTGATAAAACAACGGTACTTAGAGCCATCGAATTTTAAATGACGTAATCCTCCTACGAATATGGGCATGTGAAAGACCAAATTTGAAATTTGGAATTTGTTTTTTATCGATTTCATATTTTGTAAAACTTTAACGAATTTTTGAGTAACACACCTAACGATTTAAAAGCAAGCAATGGCAACAATCCACGAAAAAAAAAAAAAAAAAACTTTTTTTTATCTCCAGCTCGCGGAACTGTGCATCGGAAATTCTAAAGATATGCTCATTTTAAAATTATTTTGCGACATTGCTATTGAGCTGAATTTTATCGTTTAAGTGCAAAGAACATGATATTTAATAAATAAAGGTAACACACAAAACGTTAAAAAAACGCCCCTTTGGGTGGGTGTAATTTAAAATCTAAATTCTTTTAGATTTTTTTTCGGAGGGGGGAGTTGTTTGTTTTGATAAATATAATCAAGCTTTTAAAAAGTGTTTTCTCAAATTTGATTTTTATTAAATGCATATTTGAAATTTAATTAAAAACTTTTTCATTTTTACCTTCTATAAATCTATATACATATGTAAGGTAATGCTTTTGGTTTAAAAAAAAGATATACTGAGTTTTCAGTGAATAAACACGAATTAAGGCGACAGTCCGTAACATGTTTTAACTACTTTTAAAATTATCTCTCTGTATATGTGTGACAGTTCTTTCATCCATTTTTCTTATTTAATCTTACATTTTGGAAAAAAAATAGGCAACCGCATATTGGTACTTTAATTGAAATTCAAACAGACTTGTTTGCACTTACGGGACTTTAAGCCGAGAAAACGAGCATGATCTTCACAGCTCCGCTAAAGGGATAAAAGAACGCTTATTACTTTTACCCCTCACCCAACTTACATGCGTAGGTAAGGAAAACAACGTTTACAGTCTAAAAAATTAAACAGGGAATTTTCATTGCATAAGCATGAATTAGGTTCTCCACAATAGGTTTTACTGTTTTTGCCATTATGTCTGTCTGTGTGTCTGTAAATGTGACGATTTTTTCGTCCATGATAACTCTTACATGAAACTCCAAAAATTTACATTTTCTGTGTTTAAGCGTTGTGCATTCATATGAAGAGTTGATCAGATTTAAAGTAAATTAAAATATAATCAAAACGTTCCAATTTTAGTATTTAAGACTGTAGGATTCTCCACTGTGTAATTCTAAGTGACAGTTAAAAGTGAAGAATCTCAAGAACTAGTAAGCGAATAATCGCTTGAGTTCGTGTGACAGGAAACAACAAGATAGAAGGATAAGATAACCCTTTATTATTCCAATAAAGATTTAACAGAGCTCCGTCTTGGAGCTGTACAATAAAGTCGACACTTGAACTTCCACTTAAGAAACTAAGAATTAAACTAAGCTAATCTTAACTAAAGAGATATAGCCGAAGCTATCAAAATTCTAACAGAATTGGCCCTTTAACGCTAATTGACTGCGAACCTATCAAGGGCCTAAAGCAGCGGTTCCCAACCGCTGTGTGCCGTCTGGTGTGCCGTCTGAAGCACCGTGGTGTGCCGCCGGGTCTGGGTGTCACGGTGCTGTTCGCCCGCTATAACTCCTCCCGTCACTCCCCCCGCCAGTGTCATAGGTGGTCACGGCGCTGTGCAGTGCTATAACTCCTCCCCCTGCCAATCTTGACAAGTGTCCGCCGTGTCCCCGCCCCCCCCCATGAGACGCAGGCAGACGCCTCACACAGTGTCAGAGAGACAACGGCTGCTGTGAGGAGAGAGAGAGACACTGATACTGCAGTGATGGACAAGTTTTTGAAAAGGAAAGAACTGGACTCTGAACAAAAATCTGGAGCCAGATGAGAGCCCGAGTATGAGTGGGGGTCAAAAGAAAGCAAAGATGGTTAAATTCTCTGGCGCAAGGCAATATAGCGAAAAGCTATATTTCAGTTGGATTTACTTTCACTGGAGATGAACACAAACCAACTCCACTGTGCGTGGTGTGTGGTGAAAAGCTAGCTAACAGTGCTATGGTCCCAAGCAAACTTAAACGCCATCTCCAAACGAAACACCCTTTGCTTCAAAACAAGAATGTGGACTATTTTGTTCGCCTGCGTGACAACATGGAGAAAAACAGGCAACTTTTATGAGAAAAACAACAAAGGTAAATGAAAGAGCTCTTAAAGCTAGCTACCCAAGTTGCTGAACTTATAGCCAAGACAAAAAAGTCGCACACTGTGTGCAGAGACATTAATACTTCCTGCCTGCAAAGCTATTGTAGAGGAGATGCTCGGACCTGAAGCAGCAAAGGAAATAGCCAAAGTCCCTCTCTCAAACAACACAATTTCCAGACGTATTAATGACATGTCTGCAGACATCGAAAGTGTGGTTTTGGAAAAGATCCGTATCAGTGAGAAATTTGCATTGCAACTTGACGAGTCTACTGATATCAGTGGACATGCTCAACTCTTAGCTAATGTGCGTTTTGTTGATGGTGATGCAATGCAATTAGAGAAAACTTCTTTTTTTGCAAGGTATTGCCAGAAAAAAACAACAGGAGAAGAAATTTTTCGGGTCACATCAGAATACCTTGAACAAGGAGGACTTAAGTGGGAAAACTGCACAAGTGTCTGCACCGATGGAGCTGCAGCCATGGTCGGGCGCAACAAAGGCTTTGTAAGCAGAGTAAGGAAAGAAATCCAGATGTGATTATTACGCATTGTTTTTTACACCGCGAGGCCCTCGTAGCCAAGACTTTACCATCAGCCTTAGTTCATGTGTTGGATGATGTTGTGCGCATGGTAAACATTGTAAAGTCACGACCCATGAAAAGTCGCATATTTGCAGCTTTGTGTGAGGAGATGGGAGCAAAGCATAAAACCTTGCTGTTTCATACGGAGGTCCGGTGGTTGTCATGTGGCAAGGTCTTGGTTCGTGTGTATGAGCTGCGGGAGGAATTTAAAGTGTTTCTGACAAATGAGGGGTCAGATTACGCAAAGCAGCTTGCAAGTGATGAGTGGTGTGCAAGGCTGGCATACCTGGCAGATATATTTCATCATCTGAATGAATTGAACACCCGAATGCAAGGCCGAAATGAAAACCTGCTTACAAGTACAGATAAAATAAATGGATTCCGTTCAAAAGTGCAACTCTGGCATCAACACGTGGAAAGTGGCAATCTTGAAATGTTCACGCTCACCATGCAATGGCAATGTGTTCACACTGCTGCACTGTGTGAGATAATAGTTAAGCATTTAAAAACTCTTGAGGAGAAGTTGTCATTTTATTTCTCTTCAGTCTACACTGAATGCCTTGACTGGGTTAGGGACCCTTATAGCTCAGCATCAGTTGTTGGAAAGGAAATGACTTTACAGAAGCAGGAGGAACTAATTGAACTGAGACAAAATCGTGGTTGCAAGCTAAGATTTGCTGATCTACCTTTGGACAGTTTTTGGTTGGATACTGCCAAGGAGTTCCCCCTTCTGGCAAACAAATCTATTTTGACATTGCTCCCTTTTTCTACTACATATATGTGTGAGATTAGCTTTTCAAGCATGATTGCTATGAAAACCAAATACAGAGAGAGACTGAGAACTGTTGACGAAGAGCTACGTGTGTGTCTTTCTTCGATTCCAGCCAGAATATCAGCTTTGTGTTCAGCCAAACAGGCCCAGGTTTCGCACTGAAAGTATTTTATAATTTTTCACTGTTCTGTTTACTTAATATTTCATAATAAAGTAATTATAAAATACTTTCTTTGTGCTTATTTGATTCCTATTCAAGAGAATTACTTTATTATAGTCAATATAGGCACAGAGTTAATTTTTTAACATTTTCTAATGGTGGTGTGCCTCGTGATTTTTTCCCCGCGACAAGTGTGCCTTGGCCAAAAAAGGTTGGGAAACGCTGGCCTAAAGTATGGCCGAGCGTAATAATAGCATACGAATATAAAAAGGCGGACGCGTGAAGCCAGAATATCTGGTATCTCTCTCGCTAAGAGCGTAGAACTTCGCGGTTAAATACCGCTTTTCCTCATTAGCATTCAGATGTGATTCTAAAACTACGTTCTGGCTGAAATTGGTAAGTTTAAATTAAGAATCGATAAGAAAGGAAGTTTAACTCAAAATTTAACTGTTAATAAAATTAACATAATCCTTACAAGACCTTTATATCTGCGGAAACATCATATTAGATTTTTGATAAAATTGATAAGCCGGATGTGTCACTTTACTTAAACTTCTGAATTATGTGACTGAGAACAACATGTAAGCATGAAATATATTCCTAAAATTAGTAGAACTATTATTCTTAGAATTAAATGCAACGAGAATAAGCTCACTAAGAAGACGAATTTTCGTTATCAAACAAATTAACTATACTAACCTCAATCCTCAACTTTATGTTCGTTTCACTTTGTGTCGAATCACTTTTGAAATGTAAGGATGTTGCCACCAAATCCCATTGCTATGTATTATTTTTAAAGAAATAATATAGCAGATATAAAATACGTAACGAATATAAAAATAAACGTATGCAGCACTTAACATTCTGTCGAGATTTCTAACAATATGCTGGTTTTAAAAACTCTGCGATTGTTAAATTGCTGATTTGTGAATCCTTAACTGTATGTCATTTGCAACGTTCCGCTTGAGAACTGATATGTACATGATAATTATCGTTCTCCACTGTATGGAAGAACAGAATAATAAGAATTAATAGTATGGATAATTAACATTCAGTCATAAAGTTTTGAGATTAGATTTTATTTCCATCGATCAATCGGAAGTGATAGTTTACTTATAGCTCGTTGCATGTCTTAACATAGAATTGGCATTAGGTTATGGGCTGACGGTTTCAGATTTTTTTGTTCTTGTTATTATATTTGTATAATAAAATTCAATAAATTTTTAACTTTTACGTTCGAAAAAATTTAGGATTCGTCCTACCTCTAATTTTGCTTAAAAAATTATCCTGTCTTGAAATTTTATTTTACACTCATTCAAATATTCCGCGTATATGAGATTTAACTCACAAAGAGAATATTTTGCAGACTGAAAAAGACCATTGCCAGATTCGACCGAAGCATATTATTAACCTTAAGGTAACGTTAACTTTTACCTAATAAGAAAAAGGGAGGAGGTTGTTATGTTACATTTCAAATTACATCGCTTAACTGAATCATAATTTGATATCTCTTAATAATTCATTTAAACACAATAAACATATTTACTGCAATATTCATTGCTTTGTTTTAATAAATCAGTCATTAACATTGCTTTGTTTTAATAAATCAGTCATTAACATTGCTTTGTTTTAATAAATCAGTCATTAACCCATAGAAAGTTGAAAATTGTCAAAACTTTTCTCTCAGATTTCCACCTCTTCCCTACTAATGCATGACATATAACTAAAAATACTGTGTAATTTAAGTTTCTTCGATTGAATATTACTAAAAAACTTTTATTTTAAAAGCTTAAACCTTAAACAATCTAGAGATTCAAAAATCCAACTTACAATATGGAATTGCGTAAGCTCTGCGTATTACGAGATAAAATGAACAATATGCAAATTTTACATCTGCACCCAGTGTTTAAATTATCAGAAAATGGCGCATTATAGTGAGCTGTCTGCGAGGGAATCATCAGTAGTCTTACTCGTCGCCACTTGGAAGTGTGCGCTCTTATTAGTCTTTCTTTCATTCTCGTTGTTTGTTTAAAAATGCTGTTTTTACTTTTTATTGCGGCTGCGATCTTTGTCGGTAAGTGCGTATTTTATTTCTTCAAATTTTATACGGTGTGAATTCAGTTTACTAAATGTTTCAAACAAAATTTCTAGTTTGTTCACTCGAGATTAAACATTAAAGCGACTGTTAAGAGATGAACTATTTATGCTTAATTGTGGATTACTTAAAATGCGTAAGTTGCTTTTGATCTATACTTGAATAACAAGCAGTCTGTGTATTTTATATGTTCTTGCATTCATCGTACTCTAAATTAAGGAAATACAATTATGTGCTATTTCACTAATTGATTTTAGTATATGAAGTTAAAAAACGAGGGGAATTAGTTTAATAGTGAAACAAACCGTTACTTCTATACAATTCATTTTACTTTTAATGTATAATAGTGCACACACTTTCAATTCCGTTCCACCTTTGATCGCTAGCATTTTAGCAGTTTTTCGTGTAGTACTTACTTTATTTTCAATGTATCTACTTCTGATGTTAAAGAATAAGTAAGTTACACTTCAAGATATACATTTCGTTACGTCTCATCTCCATTATATTGTTTGCTGATTGCATATATTTGGAAACTGTTGTGCTCCAGTAGGTTGGAACAGTTAAACGGGCAAAAAGCAACGTTACTTTGTTTCGAGGAGTTTTTCATTGGCGTGTTTCTCTTCAAATCTTACTTGAAATTAAAAAAATTCCACGCCAATGGTTAACTTACGAAAACTTGACAATCGCCGATAATAGCTGTGCTCAGAACTCCCATTTTTGCATTAAGTACTGGAATTTAATACTTTTAATATAAGTAATAACTTTATTTGAAGTATTTGGCTTTATTTTCGCAACTGCCATCTAGATTCTTCATATTTCAGGTATAAATTCTGTAATCTTCCGTTGATGTACGATGGCCATTTTTCCGCTTCAGAATTCTTCTAAGTCTTTAAATATTAGCTCAGGTTCCTTTCCTATTGCTTGAAATGTGCCTTGTGTGAAATTTATCTGTAATAGGTCTGCAGACTTACGACCCTGCAGAAAATTACTCATTACATCTTCGTTAAAAAAGTGCGTATGTATAGGATTGAAAATTTCGACCTTAAACTAGCAAAACGGTGCATTTTAAATAAAGCTCAAGATTTCTCAAACCGTTTCTTCTTTAAAATTAACCACTAAATATCCTCAAATTTTTCATTGCGCATCCAAGTTCAAATAACTTCGCAGATTTCTTAAATCTTGGAGTACGTTTTCTATGAGGAGAATCAAAATCTATTCTTTTCTCAATATCTAAAACACAGAAGCATCCTTAAACTTGAAATTTAATAACTATTATCGTTAGTAATTCAGTCACTACTTTGAATTTTAAATCATGCCTCATTAGAAATCCCAGCGATTTATTTTCGGCAAGCTTGCCAGCTGCTTTTTTAAGCAACTTATGAGCAAATTCTTCTACAGCAACCTGAGCAAAGTTACTCCTTTTTCTCTCCAAATCGCTTATTTAAAAGCTGAAATGCTACTGTATGCAGCAATATATTGCAAATAAATTATTTTAAACCTATCCTGCTGTCGTAATGAAGATTTCCAGATTTTAAACTGCTCTAAATTACTCGAGCACAACTTGGATAACAAGAATACAGTACAAATTTTATAAATCTATAACCTACGTTCTCATTATTTCTATAAGCTTAATTATAAAATTGCATTTGTATTCTGGTAACTGGAACGGTCGTTAATTAACGTTTTTTTAGTTCCAATAGGTTATCTGTACCTGTAACCTTGCTTTTAATTATTAAGAAAGTCTGAGTAGCATTCGTTATATACGATTTTTAATACCATCATCTTTAATAATAAAGGTGAAATGATCTTAACGTTTAACTAAATGATTGCATGTTCTCTGTTATGGTACAAGGCACGCCAAAATTCCTTTAAAAAGATGCATACGCGAACATGGTACTTTCAGGGAGAATTCTTTCGTTCCTAACTCATTCCGATGGGGTTAAAAATCTCTCTAAACTAAAGATACTATTTTATTAAAGAAAAGCGGTTTAGAAACAACTTTATTGCAAAGAATTTGACGATACACCCAAGTGACCAACAGGCAACATTATCCAAGACTTATGGCTTGTTGCCTTGCAGCGAAAAAGCTCCAAATAATTTCTTGAAGACTTGAACCTTTGACAAGAAAATAGACTCCTCGTAGACTAGCGGTAAATTCGCTCAATACTGGTAGTTCGATCTGTGTTCTATCCCAGGTGAACGGATTCGTGGTTTCCCGTATATGTAACGTAGATGTGAGGCAGTCTCCCTTCATTCCTCCACGAAGGCAGCCTTCACTTTAGGCAGATAACCCTTTCTTGCTTTATCATGATAGAAACCAAACTGACTTTCAAGAATACTAATCTGATCCTTTTAAATGATCGGCTGTATACTAACTTGACTAGAATTCCAACTTTTAATTTTTATGATGCGTATTTAGGACATCTTGCCATTTGATCTGAAGTCCGTTTAATGGACTTTAAAATAGAACATATTGACAGATTTTTATTAAGTAAATGTTAAGTAGAAGTTTAGAGATCTAAAATACATGAATTGCAGTAAAGCGAAGTTGAATCGATTTTCAATTGTGTGTTAATTGTCGATAATGTGTTTAGATTTATGCTCAGAATTAAGGTTATTAATACTATATGTATCAAAATATTACGTAACTAACATCTCTGTATACCAAAAATACAATATTTAGGTGTATAGGCTTAAAGCAGTTACTAATGAAGTAGCGAAATATTTTCTAAAAGGCAAGTGAAACTTCAAAAGTTTTGCGTATTTATATGAATTCTCTAAAATGCTTGTCCTATATCGGTAGCCGTTAACTTTTGCATCCTCAAGGACCAGTCTGCGTTGGAGCTGCATGTTTAGCAAATATTTAATAACGTGCCCTGCTGTGATAAACATCTGTTGTAATCTTACGGTATTAATTTCGTGAAACCTTTGGAACAAAGCATTATAAATTTGTAAATGCGGTAATAAACACAATTAGGATAGTTCTAGCTTAGCCGCAAGTCACCTGAAGAGTTCACGGTTTACCATTTGACCATCACTGTGCTCTATTGTCATTTGTTCATCGCGATGTTAAGCTTTTCGATTTCTAGTTATTTGCAATAGCATTCAAATCTTGTTAAACTAAACTCCAGCGACTAAGTTGATATATTCTAAAATGACTCCGAATGTTGCTCTAAAATGTTAAATATATATCAACGGATATGAACTTCCTCTAAGACCTGCACCTATTTCAAAATAACTAGCACTTCTAATCTTGCCGAAAATGTTGACCAATAAGATAAAATTCTCTCCATTTTCAAAGCTTATTGATGTTCCTTTGAAGCAATTTCGCGTGATTGTATTTATATGGCAGTGCTGAGAACGTTCTTAGGATAATGACTTTTTAAATTTGGTTCTTTCAAATTCTTTTAGCAGCAGCTGTTTCAGGATTACAAACTTATCGAGCGAAAAACTAAAGCTTAATATTTAACTGAAAGTTGCCGAGTGAGCAGATGAAGATTGAGAACCGCCCAGGTTGAATTACAAAGTTTAAACATAAAATGACCCTATTTACCTTATTTCGACAGCAGAAGTAAAACTTCAATGTTCAAATAAAACTTAACCGGTGTTCCAACTTTGCAGTTCTGTATACAGAAAAGTCCTTTCATAGTATAGCAATCGGCTATTTACATTGACTCCTGTTCTCAAAAGAGCTTAATTCTTTGAATTGTATGAATTTTGTAACAGGTTGTACTTATAAACACCTTTTCGGAAGATTTGTGTACAACATTCACAAAACCTTTATAGATCACTTCATGCAAAATTGTCTGAAGTTAAATCTTTGAAAAAATCTCTCTTAAATGGTTCTTTTGGCTCTGAGAAGGTATACATGTTATATCCAATTTAGAGCTCAAACCACATTGTAAGTAAAATGTACCCTAAACCTTACGTCATTGGTGTTGCAATATTCCTAATCTTTTCAGAATATGCGTTTACGCCTTCTATGAATTTATTCTTTTTCAGATGCCTCTGCTGCAACTCTAGACTCTGTACTTGGAAGAATGAAGAATTCCCTAAATGGTAGTCTTAAGCACGTACCTGAAATGGCTCTCAATTCTTCCGAAGGCTTTGCTCAAGGCATGGATTACTTCTCGGAGGGTATTAAGAATCTAACTGCAATTTTAATTAATGATACAAATCAGTTTGTTACCTTCAGTGCAGAAGTCTCATCTGACCCAAGTAAGTTAAAACATTTTAGCATCGCTGTAATTTTCGTTGAGTTAAAGTAAAATTCGCAAGTTTCGTTTACTGATGACATGAATGTTTCTGCATTTAAGATTACGTGATTCATTTCTGCGTTTTGAAATGACTTGATTCGTAATGTCATGCCTTAAATATTTACTCTCGATAAACTTCGTTCCCTAAATGGCGTCTTAAAAACACTCCATTGATTTTGTGGATAAGGCATAAGAAACTTTGTATCTCTGTTGGTATTTGATTATTTCACTTTTATGAATTGTCTAAATGCAACCTTCGTTTTCCTTTATGTTAACAAGAATACAAACCATTTAAATAACTTTCAAAAGTTTCGTCTCTAGAGTAGACATTTCTTGGTTACTCTGCGGTATTTATAAAGAGTAACATGCAAAAGCTACTTAGATGTACAAAATACTTTCTATGCGAATTTCTACTCAAAACTGGCTTGAATTTGTGTTATGTAAAGGCCTCGAAAATGTCAATACAACCTAATTATTCGCCGGATATCGAACTGCTGAAACTATTAAACAATAAATGAATCTACATTGCAATAAACCCAAAATACTTTTAAATATCTTGCTTTCAAGTTTTCTGTTAAGTCATTAATATACTTTTCTGAGTGATTTTCAAGCTATTCAGCTGCGACACTTCATTTGTTAACTTTAGTCAATTTTCAATATGTTCAGGTTTTTAATCTTAAATTTAACTAGTTGAGAGAATGCAAAATTTAATCTGTTTTTCAGGTTGGCGGGAGTTACTCTCGTCCGTAGAAATTCTCTATTAATATCGTAAATTGGTTTTTTTAATGAGGAAATTTGCATAAATTTTAAACCATCAAATCTCTAGAAACATCCTTTACTTCTATTGTTCCAAAATCCGTATAGCCAAGTTAATAAATTTAAATTCAAATGAGACCTGTAAGAAATGTGCTTATTTCGGCGTATCTTTAATGTTGAAGTTGCATGATTTTTGAAATAAAAATCTGTGTTCATAAGTGGTCAACAAATATTCCCTGACTAAATTTTTTTGCTTATTCACCTATAACAAACTTATTCATGGCTGTTGAAATTCTCTACAGCACGATCAATACGATCTTTAAGAGAACAGTGTGTTAATAATGAAAATGGCGTTTCTTCGCTTCAAATATAACGAGCGCACAATTTGTAAATCCCAAGTTTTTCTTTACTGTAACACATGCAGAGCCTTTCAGTATTGTGTATTTTCTAATTATTCCTCTTGTGACTTTGACAGCCGTTGAAATTGTTAGAGCTGATGGCTGCAGGAAAACCCTTCTAGACAAGTTGGAAAGAAGGTGCTACGATGAATTCGAAAAGTTTGTTACGCAGAGTCAAAGTATTGAAGATGATGTAGAGAAGACTGGAAAGATTTGTTGGTAAGCTTTATCTTTAGGTTTAATATTCTTTGAAATTCCAGTTGTGAAGCTTTTATTTAAAGCTGTTTCGAAATTGTTCACCATTTAGCAACTTTCACGTATAGCTCTGTCAGTTGAACAATTCTTCACATACCTGATCTCTCTCTCGGCTTTCATCTCAGTTAATTGAAGCCTTTTCAAGGATGATGAATACACCCGAGGTTGGTAAAATGGTATTCGTTTGACTAAAAATGTACAGCTTTGATATTTGAGCGTTAGTTCTGATTACGTATGTTCTCAAAATTGAAACTGTAGCGAAAATAGTACACCCAAAACTATTTTTGTGCAGTGGATAGGGGTAACGTAAATCTCGCGAATCTTCATGAGTAGCTATAAAAATAGTCAGTCGTTTTAGAGTTCACTTTTCACTTGCCATGCAGTAGGTCATCAGTTTTTGCGACAACTGTTGTTTGACTAGACACTTGTGTCTCGGTACTCGGGTATAAAAGATCTGAACTCCCTATTTTATTTTTGTTAACTTCGTCAATTATGTTCACATTTCATTGAAATTTTCATGTACCGCACAAAAACAGGTTTAAGTCTACCTTAAATTTGTTAAACTTCAGCGAAGTGCTTGGGGTAGTTAAAATAAGTTACACTTAAAGTTCAACTACAATCGAAGCGAGGGAAGTGGTTTTAACACTTAATTGCTCGGATCAAATCTAATGGCCAACGATTTAATGTGATACTTTGCTGGGGATTAAACATTGGGGACCTCGGCTATACAACTAGCATCGAGGCAGCAATTCTTAAACCAAATACACGGCTGTCCTTTTCACATAGAACTCGAAAGCAATAACGTGACTTATTGTTAACTTGAATTTTAGTTAATTTTCAGTCTTAATATTTTGACTCCTAATATGCTCAGTATGAGTTATACCTGTTTCAGCAAGTACTCGTATGTAATCTTTGACCTCGTCTAAACTTTTCGATCTGCTGAGCATTTTAATACTTAAAGTTAAAAGTAATGGTAGTTTTTCCAATACTTCATTGGAAACGATCATGAACATTTGCTAGAAATCCTCTTGTACGTCCTAAAACTAATTCTTGACAACCTACGATAAGTTTCAAAACTGTAGGCATGTGGTTTATCTTTGGTTTTGAAACCACTCTTCTGTAATCCAGTTATGATGTATCTTAAAGGAATTGTCTAATGAGTATGTTCAAATTGTTGCTCCAAACTTGGTCTCCAATAGTTTAACTTTCGTGTAATAAACTTACTTTTCATCGTCTTGATACGAAAGGACTGTTATTTGTACACTATTGTTTTAAGTATTAAATTGGCGATCACTTGGTTAGTCGGTTTCAGTTAAGACACTTGCAATATCAATTCGATGCAGGTTTAGTTCCAACGAATGACCTGGTTACATAAGCATTTGTAGCCCAACTGCTACGGTGGCCCGAATCGGAGAAGGCATGGATATTTTTAAATGTATACTGTTGGTTCGATATGGCGGCACTAAATATGCGGCGACCCGAAAGTCCTCTCGTGTGTTTGTTGGAAGGGAAGAGGGGTGGGATACCCTTGGACCCGTTCCCGTTCTGGGGTGCTCTCCATCAAATTTGGAGACGGAAGCTAAATCGCACCATCACCTGAAAGGTGTTCAAGGCTGTTGCCAGTGGCATGCGTACTCAAGCGCTCCTTGCCACGAGAAATTTCGTGGGCTTGGCCTGACTGTACGTCAGAAAAGCATAAGCGTTTTCAAGTATTTAATAAAGGCCTACAATCCATCAGCGTTTTTCTAATATCCTGCTCAATGCAGGCTTTCACGTACTTTGCCATGTTGAAACATTGGTGGAATGCTTTGACATGCATACTTCGGATTAACATTTGCAAAAGCCATGCTAATTGAGGTAGCTGGTATGAAATAGAACTCGTATGTTTTCAAATTTCGTTTAAAATCAACAACGGTGTAATCACTGTTTTCATTTTATTGGAATTTTAAGGCTAGAGTAAATTTCCAGCTATTCTCGTGTCCCGATTTCTCAAAGATATTCTCAAATCTACTAGTTGATAATTCATCTTGATCCTTAATTTTCCACCCGGAGTTTAAGTCCCGTCTGTAAAATCTTTGTCCCAACGGAATTCTTGAGCCTCGATCTTCAATTATAAAAGAAACTTACCCCGGTTGGGAGACGCCCGTATAAGCCCGCGGGGTGCTCTTCATCAAAACTGGAGGTGGAAAATAAGTCCAACCTCTTTGCAATAGGTTCTGGCAACTATTGTTCCATGTAGTATAGACACGCAAAAAAAAAACTTGTAACATTTTTGTAAATTTGCATGTTTCTCGTGAATAAAGGAATGGAATAAAAAAATTCAAACTAATTTGGGATACAAAAGGTTAAAGGCTAGCAGAATAAACGGTAGTCTTCTGAAGACTCGGAAATTCCGAAAGAATAAACCTTTCAACTTTGTCTCTTAGAAGAAAAACTTGATTTTGTAATCACGCTGAATGTACTTAAATTTAAGCTTTTTTTTTGTATGCTTTCATCACGAATTAATAGCTCCGTTTTAAATGTGGAAATTTAACACTTGTGTATGAGCTATACTGAAATGTCTTCATTTTGCCCTTTTTAGAATGTTTATGGTTTTTCCTTTTAGTGCTATGGTTGACTACGAGAAATGCAGTCTTAGAGGATACGACAAAGCAAATTGCGGTGCTGATAAAGGCCAAGTTCGCGATAACATCAAATCAGTCACGCTGTTTATGAGCGTCATCAGCAGCGTTAGCTGTGCGGAATTCCGTGGGCGCTGTGCGGAGATATCTTCAGCTACTGCGATTTCAGCCTCATGGATGGCTTTGTTGCCTTTAGGCCTGATGCTCATGTGTTGAACATTTCTGTAGTATTTAAATTTTTATCACTTTGAAAGTGTAACTCTTGTGTATAATTGCGGATTTTAAATAAATACTATATATTTACTTTTTCGAGTAATTTTCTGATGCGGATTTAATACTTTAAATTTTGATTTCATAGACCGACACATCAAAGTATGAAATATCTTCCGCTGCAATTTAATCACCCTTTCATGCAATTGACATAGCTTTATAATTAGACTGCTTGGTATTAATAGTGCAGTAGATCATTACTCGTTACAAAATGTTTTATTTCTAATGATTCTCGTGCATTTCTTAAAACATTTCACAAACCATTTGTTTAAACATTAATCTGGTTCATTACAAATCTTGACTAAAATTCTTAAATAAAATCTAAAGGATCGTGGAAGCGCTAAATGCAACGTTGTACATTTTAAGAGTATCATCAGAAAGTTTGGTATTAAAAGTAATGTTACGTGCATTGTGAGAACCAGAAACAAAGTCTGAATTTTAATCTGATGCCTAAAAGCGATGTAAACTCTGGTTATGCAGAACTTCAATTTTTCCTTTAAAAATCCAAACCTGTGATGGAAGTTTCACGATTCGAACTATTCTACATCAGTTTTAATATTAAGATGCTGCTATCTAGTTGATTACATGCATTTTAACCACTTATCCATAGGTTCAAGGAAAGCAACGCCAAAGCATCAGGGACATCTGCAAGAAGGCAAACTACTGCAACAGGGTGAAAGTAATTTTAGCGATTCATCTATAGCCAACCGATTTAAATTTCCCTGAAGTTCCTTCATTTGAACATAGAAAAATTTATTATGATTAACCCGAAAATAGCATTATTTCAGTTGCTGTGCTTTACTCCAATATAACCCGCAAGGGCATTGGACAAGAATAAAAGTGAAACTTTTAGATAATGTCGAGTTGCAAATAGTTTCCGGTTCTGTTAATTTTAACAGAACCGGAAAGAAAATTCCTAAAAACAAGTTTTAATCTGTGCATTTTTATTTGCAACTCCACATTATCTAAAAGTTTCACTTTTTTATTCTTGTCCAATGCCCTTGCGGGTTATATTGGAGTAAAGCACAGCAACTGAAATAATGCTATTTTCGGGTTAATTTAAATATTGCCAATCATAAATTTTTCTATGTTCAAATGAAGGAACTTCAGGGAAATTTAAATCGGTGGGCTATAGATGAATCGCTAAAATTACTTTCACCCTGTTGCAGTAGTTTACCTTCTTGCAGATGTCCCTGATGCTTTGGCGTTGCTTCCCTTGAACCTATGGATAAGTGGTTAAAATGCATGTAATCAACTAGTTAGCAGCATCTGAATTTAATATTCTTCGAAATCGCCACACTTAACAGATTCAGGTAATTTCTTGATTTACGTTTGTACACACTTTCGCAATAACTGAAATTTAAATTCAGTTTTATGGCTTTTAGTTATCTCTTTTCTTTTAAAGCGACTTTGCATTTCTAAAAATGCTTCGTACGAAAAATATGGCTTCGCATACAAGATGGCATAACATTTGAGCTACACTTGTTGAAACTATTGGAAAACTTGCCAAATTTAAATCGCCTGAGCTATTATTTCTTTAAATTTACATACAGTGAAACCTCTGTTTACGAAATTAGCTCATTCCTGAAGGCTGTTATTCGAAAAGTTAACCCAAACCATATTTTTCATGCAGGAATTGATGTAAAATGATTTGATTTGTACTTAACAGGATTTTAACTTCATAACGATAGGTTTGAACAAATGGCCAAAACTGGAAATCATTGAATATGACACCATATTAAAGAGATAAAATGAACCCAAACTAAATTCTATAGTTCATTGTTATCGGACTTGAGTAACATGCCGGCCGAATGCGCGATCTGAAAACAGCGGACGGGCCAGAATTTTTAATGAAACATTTGCTCAACAAAATTTTAAGTTCCGCTTTTTAACTATTTTCAAAATATACATAAAGAACACTATCGCGAAGCAAAAAAAAAATTTATATTTCATTTCCTGAAGTTCGCAATTCAAATGCCCTAACAGCTTAAGTAGTTCGCAATTCAAATGCCCTAACAGCTTAAGTAGTTCGCAATTCAATGCCCTAACAGCTTAAGTAGTTCGCAATTCAATGCCCTAACGGCTTAAGTAGTTCGCAATTCAAATGCCCTAACGGCTTAAGTAGTTCGCAATTCAAATGCCCTAACACTTAAGTTAGTTTCGCAATTCAAATGCCCTAACAGCTTAAGTAGTTCGCAATTCAAATGCCCTAACAGCTTAAGTAGTTTCGCAATTATCAAATGCCCTAACAGCTTAAGTAGTTCGCAATTCAATGCCCTAACAGCTTAAAGCCATTCAATGCCCTAACAGCTTAAGTAGTTCGCATCAATGCCCTAACAGCTTAAGTAGTTCGCAATTCAAATGCCCTAACAGCTTAAGTAGTTCGCAATTCAAATGCCCTAACATCTAAGTAGTTTCGCAATTCAAATGCCCTAACGAGCTAAGTAGTTCGCAATTCAAATGCCCTAACTCTTAAGTAGTTCGCAATTCAAATGCCCTAACAGCTTAAGTAGTTCGCAATTCAATGCCCTAACAGCTTAAGTAGTTCGCAATTCAAATGCCCTAACAGCTTAAGTAGTTCGCAATTCAAATGCCCTACGCAATTCAAATGCCCAGCTAAGTAGTTCGCATTCAAATGCCCTACAGCTTAAGTTAATTTCGCATTCCAATGCCCTAACAGCTTAATTAGTTCGCAATTCAAATGCCCTAACAGCTTAAAGTAGTTCGCAAATTCAAATGCCCTAACCTTAAGTAGTTCGCAATTCAAATGCCCTAACAGCTAAAGTTTCGCAATTCAAAGCCCTAACAGCTTAGTAGTTCGCAATTCAAGCCCTAACAGCTTAAGTAGTCGCAATTCAAATGCCCCCTAACAGCTTAAGTATTCGCAATTCAATGCCCTAACAGCTTAAGTAGTTCGCAATTCAAATGCCCTAACCAATTAAGTAAGTTCGCAATTCAAATGCCCTAACAGCTTAAGTAGTTTCCAATTCAAATGCCCGAACAGCTTAAGTAGTTCGCAATTCAAATGCCCTAACAGCTTAAGTAGTTCGCATTCAAATGCAGCTTAAGTAGTTCGCAAAATGCCCTAACAGCTTCAGTAGTTTCGCATTCATGCCCTACTTAAGTAGTTCGCAATTCAAATGCCCTAACAGCTTAAGTAGTTCGCAATTCAAATGCCCTAACAGCTTAAGTTCGCAATTCAAATGCCCTAACAAGCTTAAGTAGTTCGCAATTCAATGCCCTAACAGCTAAGTAGTTCGCATTCAAATGCCCTAACAGCTTAAGTAGTTCCAATTCAATGCCCTAACAGTCGCAATCCTAAATTTCGCAATTCAAATGCCCCTAACAGCTAAGTAAGTTCGCAATTCAAATGCCCTAACAGCTTAAGTAGTTTCGCAATTCAAAGCTTAAGTAGCTAAGTAGTTCGCAATTCAATGCCCTAACTGCCAGTATAAGTTCGCAATTCAAATGCCCTAACAGCTAGTTAGTTTCGCAATTCAAATGCCCTAACAGCTTAAGTAGTTCTCAATTCAAATGCCCTAACAGCTAAGTAGTTCGCAATTCAAATGCCCTAAGCTAAGTTTCGCCAAATGCCCTAACAGCTTAAGTAGTTCGCATTCAAATGCCCTAACAGCTAAGTACGCAATCAAATGCCCTAACAAAGTTTCGCATTCAAATAACAGCTTAACAGCTGTTCGCAATTCAAATGCCCTAACAGCTTAAGTAGTTCGCAATTCAATGCCCCTAACAGCTTAGTTTCGCAATTCAAATGCTAACAGCTAAGTAGCAATTTCGCAATTCAATGCCCTAACAGCTTTAAATGCCTAGCTAGTTCGCAATTCAAATGCCCTAACAGCTAAGTAGTTCAATGCCCTCAAATGTAAACGCTTCGCAATTTAAATGCCCTAACAGCTAAGTTGGCGCAATTCAACTGCCCTACAGCTTAAGTAGTTCGCATTCAAATGCCCTAGCTTAAGTAGTTCGCAATTCAATGCCCTAACAGCTTAAGTAAGTTTAATTCAAATGCCCTACCAGCTTCGCAATTCAATGCCTAACTTAAGTAGTTCGCAATTCAATGCCCTAACAGCTTAAGTAGTTTCGCAATTCAAATGCCCTAAAGCAGCTAAGTTCGCAATTCAATGCCCTAACAGCTTAAGTATTCGCAATTCAAATGCCCTAACAGCTTAATAGTTCGCAATTCAAATGCCCTAACACTTAAGTAGTTTCGCAATTCAAATGCCCTAACAGCTAAGTAGTTCGCATTCAAATGCCCTACGCTTAGCCTTAAGTAGCTTACGCAATTCAATGCCCTAACAGCTTAAGTAGTTCGCAATTCAAATGCCCTAAGTAGTTCAGCTAAGTTAAGTTCGCATTCAAATGCCCTAACAAAGTAGTTCGCAATTCAAATGCCCTAACAGCTTAAGTAGTTCGCATTCAAATGCCCTAACAGCTTAAGTAGTTCGCATTCAAATGCCCAACATAAGTAGTTCGCAATTCAATGCCCTAACAGCTAATAGTTCGCAATTCAAATGCCCTAACAGCTTAGTTCGCAATTCAATCCCTAACAGTTAATGTAGTCGCAATTCAAATGCCCTAACAGCTTAAGTAGTTTCGCAATTCAAAACGCTGCGCAATTCAAAGTAAAGCAAGTAGTTCGCAATTCAAATGCCCTAGTCGCATTCAAATGCCCTAACAGCTTAAGTAGTTCGCAATTCAAATGCCCTAACAGCTTAGTTCGCAATTCAATCCCTAACAGTAGTTCGCATTCATGCCCTAACAGCTTAAGTAGTTCGCAATTCAAATGCCCTAACAGCTAAGTAGTTCGCCAATTCAATGCCTAACAGCTTAAGTTTCGCAATTCAAATGCCTAACAGCTTAAGTAGTTCGCAATTCAAATGCCCTAACAGCTTAAGTAGTTCGCATTCAAATGCCCTAACAGCTTAAGTAGTTTCGCAATTCAAATGCCCCTAACAGCTTAAGTAGTTTCGCAAATTCAATGCCCTAAACAGCTAAGTTCGCAATTCAAATGCCTAACAGCTGAA